CTCTGTGAGTTCTAGGCCAGCCTGGACTACAAAGAAGTCCAGGACAGCCAAAGCTACACAGAGAACCCTGTCTCAAAACAACAACAACAACAAAAAGTTACTGTTCCAGTGGATCACAGTCTTCTTTACAGCACATGTAGAACAGGATTACTTTGGGTCCCTTGGGTAGGTTAGCCGGTTGACAGGACGGACTAATGCTTCCCTACTTTAAATAGGAAAAACTCACACTGAAAAGTCTTGGCTCAGTTCCAGTGTGGTGGTTTGAATAACAATGGCCCCCACAGGCTCATATATTTGAATGCTTAGTCATCAGCAGTGGCACTATTTGAGAAGGCCTTTTTGGAGGGAATGTGTCACTTGGGGGTTTCAAAAGCCCATTCTACACACAATTCTCTCTCTCTCTCTCTCTCTCTCTCTCTCTCTCTCTCTCTCTCTCTCTCAATCTCTCTCATAATTTAGCTCTCAGCTACTTCTTCAGCACCAAACCTGCAGGTCACCATACTCCCCACATGGTGATAACAGACTAACCCTCTAAAACTGTATGCAAGTCCTCCGTTAAATGCTTTCTTTTACAGGAGTTGCTTTGGTCACGCTCTCTCTTCACAGCAATAAAACAGTGACTATGACATCCTGACATGCTAGCTAGGTGAAAATAGCACAGAAACCTCAATGCAAGTTGACTAAAAAAAAAAAATCATTTTAATTGTCTTTAGGTCTCTTATATTAAACATAGACTACATTAATCTCCCTTTTATAATCCTATCGGTTCTAAATGCTGATGCAGAGTAGCCAACAGAAGATGACACTCACCAGTACAAAAACATTCTCATCTCAAACATCCTCCAGTTCCTTGGTGTTAACTAAGACTTTGTCAGCAAGCCACTCAAAACTTCCCAGAGTACTCTTAAGACTGCAAGAGCAGAATTTATGTTCTTTACATCAAACAACTACTGAAAGATGTCTGGCTAATAGACCAACGTGTAATTAACTGACTTTGTTTGTTTGGAAATTACAAATGGATCAGTGAATCTATGTCAACATTCAGATGCCTGTTTATCACATTCAGTCTAAAAAGAAAAAACATGGTCTCCAGTTTCTAAACACAATGTCTGTATATGAAAGCTTCAGATTAGAAGAGACTTCATCTCTCACCTGCAGCTGTTCCAGATAATCCACTGGGTAGCTCAGAATAATTCTGTGGTCCACATGACATCCTATCTTCCCTAAAAGATAGGTCCTATGTCTACTTTCAGTCTTTTAGTGTACTGCATCACTACAATCCTTGAACATTCTTCTACGACACGGTTTCTTGGGGGGTGGGGCACGGGGTGCAGAATGGGTACTGAGGGTTGACCCAAGGGCAAAGCAAGCACGGTGCCACAAGCCACAACTCCAGCCCTGATTTCCCAGCTTTTGTTCCTCTAGAATTCTAAACACTTAGGATGCTGTAATTTCAAAAAATATCATTTAAATTATGTTAATATTTTGCAACCATGCCATACTATTGCTCTATTTAAAGTTCAAAGGTATCTTCCAGAGGACCTAGGTTCCAATCCCAGCACTTTAATGTGTCAAAGTTCACAACTGTCTGTAAGTTACAACACCCTCACACAGACATACTTGCAAGCAAAACGCCAATGCACAAAAAAAGTAAACAAACAAACAAATCATTAAAAAAGAAAGAAACTAAAGTTCTAAGGTAATGTCAAATGTTTTCTAGTGTTTAATATGGTTTAATATTAGAATATTACACAAGAAAATGTCAAGCTCCTAATTTCAAAAATATTCAAAGAAAATTTTAAGGGATCTCTGAATTGTTGAAAAAGTCCCCATCAACCCTGGAGAAGCAAAGGCCATAGCTGGAAGCTAGGGACAGAGAACCCATACTGGAGGAGTAAGCTTTGTTTCCCAGAGTCAGGTTTTAGGTCTAGGATGACTTAAATCTTGCGTGTCCTGCCTCTTCAACACCTCTCCTTTCTTTGACCCTAAACCTGAGCCTGCTGTACACAGCAGCCACCCAATTCCCTTCCTTACCCACCTCAGGGACTCCAGAGAACCAGGCAGGAAGTTAAAGCCCTGCTTTCACCCTGCCAGCCCCACAGTCACACACTCCTTCAGCTCTGGCCACAGTGGTTTCTGGGCATCTCCTAAGGGGCTCTCCAGAAGGGGTGGAACTGAAAAGCTCTGGTGATAGAGCCAGCTTCTGCACTCCTGCCATGTAGCACGACTGGCCTGATAGACTTGACCAGATCCCCTATGGAGGCCTAAGGCAGTTTGGGGGTGCAGACATGCCCTGGGGGTTACATCTCCCTGTTCTTATAATCTCAGTGATAATAAAATATAACCATGTCTAAGGAAAAATAAAGGAAAAGTCTCCATCATTTCAAACCTTTTTGGTTCTGTGAAAAGCATGCACTTTACTTGCTGGATATACTTTTTTGTTGTTGTTGTTGAAACAGGATTTCTCTGTGTAATAGCCCTGGCTGTCCTGGACTCATTTTGCAGGCCAGGCTATCCTCGAACTCACAAAGATCCGCCTGCCTGTGCCTCCTGAGTGTTGGGATCAAATACATGTGCCACCACACTCGGCTACTGGTTACATTTTTTTAAAACAAAAAAGAAAAATAAATAGATAGATAGATAGATAGATAGATAGATAGATAGATAGATAGATAGATGATCACAGACTATTTTTTTTAAGTTTTGCTATTCTCTTTTTTACTGTAGAAAATGATCCATATACTAGAGGGAGAGAGTCAGCATCCATAACTATCTAACACCTTTCCAATACTGCTTCCTCCATTCTGTGCTCACCAGGCACTTTTTTTTTTTTTTTTTAATTCAGGTCTGGTCATTTATTTGTCACCCTCTCTCTTTTTTTAACTATGGAACGTGTCACGAATGTATATCATCCTTGTACAGGGGCTATGCTGATGCCCTCTGTATCCTTCCAATTTTAGTATTTGTGCTGCCGAGGGAAGCACTATCTATTACTCTTAAAGACTAATTTTGACCGGTCTCAGACTTAGAAATAGGATTTCTCAGCAAGAATGGCCTATGTTTCTTGGCATTGTGTTCCTGGTGCTTTTCTTTGGCTTCCTGCAGTTTCGAGGCCAAAAGTTTAACATATTTTGCTAGCTTCTCCCTGTTTTCGTAGTGCGGCTTCTTCAGAGCGGCACATCAGGACACAGGGAGTAACAGCACTGAACCTTGGATGTACTGACCCTGGGCTTCTTACCTTCTTTGTTTAAGGCCTTTCTTTTCTGGCAACATATTGGTAGGCTTCTTTAGAGAATTCCTTCTTTTTCACCTTCGTTAGAGAGAGTTAAAAATTTGCAGATCCTGCTAACTCTTTTGGGCCCCAACCATCAAGGCACAGTAGGATCTGTCAGTACAGGAATATCCTTCACTCCGTTTTTTAAATGAACAAGTTGAGAACACTCAGACTGACACCCACAATGCATCTACAAACAAGACTTGCTTGTAGACTTCTAATTCTCCTTGGTCTGCAACAAGAAAGCCCCTTACACAACAGCCATGCACTCTGACTGTGTCAACATACCTTGCTTCATGGCAAACCTTGTCACTCACAGCATTGATTCAGAGTACATAACCCTTCCACTCTTCACCCACAGTACCAGCAACCTACTTCTGTGCTATGTCCTTCTCATAGAAAGCACAGCTTGTTTTCATCATCTACTTCAACAAGTTTCTGACAGCCAGTAGCTGGGAAGGAAATCTTCAGCTTCACCTTGACACAGCTGACCACTAAGAAGCTGCCTTGAAAAAGTGCTGTACTCTCTCTTCATACAAAAGCAATCCTCCTGCTCTATATCTTGACATGCACTGTTTCCATATTAGTACAAACCAGGGGAGTTTTATTCTAGACCATGGATAATCTACGCACTAGATATGCTTTGCTACAAGTTTTCACAATATTGTCAGCTAAGATTACAGCAATATTTATAGAAGAGAAACATACATTCATAAACAAATGGTCAGTCACTACCATGTTGCTTAAGTAAATTCTAGTAGACAGAACAGAAAGCAGTCTGAGCCTGTACCTATAATCTCAACACTCAGAAAGGAGGCAGAAGCACATGGATCTCTGTGAGTTCAAGGCCAGACTAGTCTACATAATGAGTTCTAGAACAGGTAGTAAGATGATATCTCAAAAAAAAAAAAAAAAAAGATGAAACAAAAACAAAAGACCTTGAAGCTCAATTCCTTTGAATACACAGCAAGAGATATTTCTTTTAAAAAAGCAAGAGTTGGCTAACAAGTGCTTTAACTGGCTTTAGGGAGTGACAGGTCTTAGGAAAGTGTCATTTATAGTAAGAAATTCCTACAACATATCAGAAACTTTAAAGTTTACAGAGACAGTAAAGTCCCAAATAACCACAAACAGACAGAATTCTTAAGAATTATGAAGTGGTGAAACGCTTCAGGAAACTGAGAAGGGGGCAGGACAGCTCAGCAGGTTAAGGCACCACCACCAAGCCTAGATATCCAAGATCAGTTCCCGGGCCCCACATGGTCAAAGGAGGGAACCCCTCCACCAAGCTGTTCTCTGACTTTCCCATGCATGCCAACACACACACACACACACACACACACACACACACACACTAAAATAAATATAAATAAATGTAAAAAGAAACGAGTTGAAGGAGAGCTAAATATAAAATCTGTCTAAAAGGAAGTATGCTGTCATCAGGGAATTGCTAAAAACAACTGCAATCAGGAATTATGAAAAAAGCTATAAAATATCAGTGAATGATTTGGTTGGGACTTGAGGACCAGGATGAAATGGTTCTAAAAACAAAGTAAAGAATACAAAGATGTGCACACATCTCTCTTCATCAAAATCTTTTCCACCAAACACCAAATGTGCAGTATTGGCATACTCTTCTTTCATTCAATAAAATAAAGTTTAAAAAGATACACAACAAAAGCAAAAGGACTTTGTTTTTAAAATCAGGCACTTAGAAAGTACTCACATCTGAGCCCATGCTTCTTGTGGCACCTTGTAGGGCAGGGTTAGGCACGGAAAGCTTTCCATTCCCTGGGCTGTTCACCACAGGAGCTGGCACCACATTCACCACATGGTTAGGTAGCTGTGTGGCTCCGCCAGTGACAGCAAGAACTGGCTGAGCAGAAGGCAGAACTCCAGGGGCCTGAAGTTGAACCACAGTAGGCTGAGAGAGCAAAACAGTCTGACCTGGATTAGAAAAGGGAAAAGGAGTCAACTAGTGCATAGCTGTGTCGAGGAGCAGCCTACCATTCAGTCTACAGACAGACAGATTAAACCTGAAGAACTTCATACCATTAAGTAAGACATTACCAATAGCACAATAGCAACACATACTAAGGGGGACTCTGAAGCTGTGTTTTCACTGGGACCAAGGAAGTTCTTCATTTTCGGGTTAAGACTAGCAATCTATTTTCAAGTCAGATATTGTAGTACATACCACAGCCCAAGTAGCTGATAGGCTGGGGCAGAAGAGCCACTCAGAAACCTGAGGATCGTTTGCACAACACAGCAAGACCCAACTGAAAAGGGGAAAGGAAGAAAGAAAGGAAGGAAGGAAGGAAGGAAGGAAGGAAGGAAGGAAGGAAGGAAGGAAGGAAGGAAAGAAAGAAAGAAAGAAAGAAAGAAAGAAAGAAAGAAAGAAAGAAAGAAAGAAAGAAA